GGAGGCAGATGCTCTCTTTAGTGCCAGAAGAGTTAGCTTCTGGCACCGTAACGCACTCCTCACAGCTTTGAAAGAGGGAACAGGGCGTACAGCCCTAAAGCATATTGTATTACCCTAAAGCCTAGACCCCCGTCCTTCCCCTCTTAAAAATTAGGATTTAGGATTTAGGATTTAGGATTTAGGATTTAGGATTTAGGATTTAGGAATTAGGAATTAGGAATTAGGATTTAGGATTTAGGATTTAGGATTTAGGATTTAGGATTAGGATTTGGATTTAGGATTTAGGATTTAGGATTTAGGATTTAGGATTTAGGATTTAGGATTTAGGATTTAGGATTTAGGATTTAGGATTTAGGTTTTAGGATTTAGGATTTAGGATTTAGGATTTAGGATTTAGGATTTAGGATTTAGGATTTAGGATTTAGGATTTAGGATTTAGGATTTAAGATTTAGGATTTAGGGCGTCACGCGCGTCACGCGCGTCACGCGCGTCACGCGTGTCATGCGCGTCACGCGCGTCACACGGGTCACGCGCGTCACGCGCGTCACGCGCGTCACGCGCGTCACGCGCGCTGGGGGCTGCCCAGGCAAAATGGAGGGGTGCCCAGAAACATCGATTTCAGTACTAAAAAATCGCACTTTTCATTGCGGCCAGGGCAGATGCTGGGGTCCCCCTCCTTTAGAGAGCTTTCTGAAGCCTTTTAGGATTTAGGATTTAGGATTTAGGATTTAGGATTTAGGATTTAGGATTTAGGATTTAGGATTTAGGATTTAGGATTTAGGATTTAGGTTTTAGGATTTAGGATTTAGGATTTAGGATTTAGGATTTAGGATTTAGGATTTGGGATTTGGGATTTAGGATTTAGGATTTAGGATTTAGGATGTAGGATTTAGGATTTAGGATTTAGGATTTAGGATTTAGGGCAAAATGGAGGGGTGCCCAAAACCATCGATTTCAGTACTAAAAAATCGCACTTTTCATTGCGGCCAGGGCAGATGCTGGGGTCCCCCTCCTTTAGAGAGCGTTTTGAAGACTTTTAGGATTTAGGATTTAGGATTTAGGATTTAGGATTTAGGATTTAGGATTTAGGATGTAGGATTTAGGATTTAGGGATAGCCACTACAGCAGAGAATACAAAAGCAACGAGAGAACAAGGAGCGTTCTTGTACACAGCGGTGCCACGGAGCGCAGCGACAGCGAGCGATGGCGCCGCGGCCCCGAGCGCGATTTTGGGACCCGCGTCCTGGCCTGTTCTGGCCTGTTCGGGCGTCAAGACACAACATATAAACATACTGCTGCCCTCTGCTTTACTTGTCCTTTTGATTTATATTCAAATTGCTGTATATTATTAAAAAATATCAATTACAGGAGAGAATACAAAGCAACGTGCGAACTATCCCAAAAAATAAACCCTAAACCCTAATAGAGTAAGGTTTGGGTGGTCTTGGGGTGGGTTTTTAGCTTTCGCGCGACGCGCCGCCCACGACCCCTTGGGTCGAGGCGCGTCGCTTCAGTCAGCAAACCCTAAACCCCAAACCCTAAACCCTAAACCCGAAAGCCCAAAACCTCTGGGGTTGAGGGTTGCCATAGGAGACGCTGCCTTGGATCCCTAAGGTTGCACCCTTGGGTTCGGGGCTATTAACCTTTTAGGGGGGACATCCTTATAAGGGGTTTAGGGTTTAGGGTTTAGGGTTTAGGGTTTAGGGTTGAGGGCAGACTAAACGACAAGCTGCAAGCCCGCAACCAGGGGGCCCCTCAACTACCCGAAGCCCGGACTCTTCAGGAGGGGAGTTTCCAAGTGGGGGTTGGGGTTTGGGGTTTCGTCTAGGGTTTGGAAAAGGCACACGGGCAGCTTAAGAAGGATAATATGGCCCTAACCCCTAAACCCTAACCCTGAACCCTAAATGGAAAACCCCTCAACCCCTAAACCCAAAACCCTAGACCCGAACCCCAAACCCTAAACCCTAAATCACCTCCAAAACAATCCCAGACCCAAGCCCTGCGAGCCAAGGAGCAGGGCCACCGTCTTCGCCATACTGGTGGAAGGAAGCTCAAGGCATCTGAGATCTGAAGCTACGTAGCACTTAGGGTTTAGGGTTCAGGGTTTAGGGTTTAGGGCTTCCCTGTTGCTATCTGCCCCATGGCCCGAAACCCTAAATCCTCAACCTAAAGCCCTAAACATGCCGGCCAGGGCTGCGTTGCTGTACGTTGCTCTCTCAAGAGGGGAGAACACGAAATATCCCAAGGGCTAAACCCTCAACCCTGAGCCCTAAACCCTGAACCCTAAACCCTGAACCCTAAACCCTAAACCCTAAACCCTCCACCACTCCACCCTACTTGGACCATGCGCAGCCGTCTCTGGAGCCAAGAAGGCAGCGGCAGCGTGTTGAACCTTATTAGGGGCTGCAGGGTACAAGGCCCAAAAAGACCCTGAGGTTTAGGGTTTAGGGTTTAGGGTTTTTGGGGTTTAGGTTTAGGGCTTAGGGTTTGGGTTGCTGGGCTTCGGGTACCCCAAAAATCCCCCAGTCGATAAACTCCGAGCCCTCAAATATGCTCAGGCCACCAGGCCGCCGCCCAACCAAGAACCCCAAACGACATCACGCCAGACCCTAAACACCAAAAACCGAAAAACGAAAAACAAAAAAAAAATAGACCCTAAACCCTAAAACCTAAACCCCAAAACCCTACACAACATCACACTGGGCCGCTGGTTCGAGCCGTCACTTCCCTAAACCCTAAACCCGAAACCCGAAACCCTAAACCCTAAACCCTAAACCCCAAAACCTTCAGCCATCAAGCCTCGTTCCACTGGCCCACTCCTAGACTTTCAGGTGTTGGGCGGGGTATAGGAGACCCTGAATACCCAAACCCTAAACCCCTGACCCTACACTCCAAACCCCAAACCCTAAAAAATCCCAAAATTTGGGGCTTAGGGATCTAGAACCCCAAACCCTAAACACTAAAGCCTACACCCTAAACCCTATACCCTAAACCCTAAACCCTAAACCCTAAACACTAAACCCTACACCCTAAACCCTATACCCTACATAAACCCTGAACCCGGGAGCCGGACCCCCTCACGCTCGAGGGCTGCGCGCTCGCGCCTCAGTGTTGCGGGTTGAGGGCTTGGGGATTAGGGGTTTAGGGTTTAGGGTTTGGGGTTTGGGGTTTGGGGTTTCGGGTTCGGGGTTTGGGGTTTGGGGGTTGGGGTTTAGGCTTTTGCGGCTTAAGCTTCTGGGGTCGGGGGTTGGAGTTTGGGCGCGTGTGCTCAGGAAACATTCCTTTCAAGTCACGTGCGAGCGCTTGCCTACCTAAAATCTTCGGCCTAACCAGAAAACAACGCCAGCCCTTGCAGTCAACAGTCCCCAAACCCCAAACCCCAAACCCCAAACCCTAAACCCTACACCCCAAACCCCAAACCCCAAACCCCAAACCCCAAACCCTAAACCCCTAAACCCCTAAACCCCAAACCCTAAACCCCTAAACCCCAAACTCTAAACCCCTAAACCCCAAACCCTAAACCCAAACCCCAAACCCTAAACCTCAACTCCCCCCTCCGGGCTGCGAGCTCGTGGTGCGCCTCGCATGTCGCCAGTCGTGCCTTGAGATCCGACACCTGGCTTGGGGTTTTAGGGTTTAGGGTTTAGGGTGAAGGGTTTAGGGTTTAGGGTGTAGGGCTTAGGACTTAGGGTTTAGGGTTTAGGGTTTAGGGTTTAGGGTTTAGGGTTTAGGGTTTAGGGTTTAGGGTTTAGGGTTTCGTCTATGAAGCGTTTGCAAGATGACCAAATATACTTCATTATCACTGATCATATGGGGGGTTTCCGAAAAAAAGAGTAAACTCTAGAAAGTTGGAACATGGTTTAAGGATGATTAGAGCTGGGATTCTCTTTGGTATACCCTTCGGGGTATGGGGATAAGGGTGCTCCAACTTTTTGGAGTTTCCGGGGTACCCCTTTCTGGGGTCCCGTTAAGGGGATTCGATTCGGGGGTTAACAGGTGGCACCCCTATTTTGGGATATACCCATCTTGCTGAAGTAGAAAATACTTATCATCAGGGGGAGCTACGAGCTTTTGGGGCTTGTTGGGGCGCAGCAGGATTTTAGGGATCCGGTTTGGCGTTTCAGCTTTAGGTTTGCTGTGGGTTCTCACAGCGTACGGCTCCTAGAAGTCCTAAACCCTCAACCCTAAGACCTAAACCCTCAACCCTGAGCCCTCGACCCTAAACCCTAAGCCCTAACCCTCAACCCGAAAGCCCCAACACCTTGCCTCACGTTGGCGTGCAGCTTCCGACCTGCTCTCAGAAAGAGGGCGCGAAAGTCGGAGTCCAGGTATGGGTTCTTAGGCTCAGGGTTTGAGGTTTCGTAGGGTTTAGGGTTTTAGAGTTTTTGGGTTTTAGGGTGTGAGGGGCCATTGGGTCTTCGGGCCTTGTAGTTTATGGTTTAGGGCTTGGGACTTCGAACCGGAAATCCTAAGCCCCTGAAACCCTGAAGCCCTGAACCCATCCAAAGACCTAAGCCCCAAGCCTACTTAGAGGTTCATGGCACTTAGTAACCAGATTATAACTGTACTTATCACCCAATTATAGCCCTATTAGGGTACTTGGGGGCTTACATGTGGGTTAAAGCTACACTCTTAATGGCAGCCCTAACCCATTAAGAACATCACTCCTAAGCTGATGAATGAAGTGAATCAAGGCGACGGACAGGTGTTTGGGGGGGGAAGATGTGGGATTCCGTTTGAGTTCAGGGTTTCAGCTTCGAAATTTGGAGATTGGGGTTTGGAGGGGGGGGAGCGGAGGGGAGGGTAAATTCTTGGACCTCTCTGGAATCCTCACTGCCCTAATGTTCAGGGTTTAAGCTTATACTACCTCCACCCGAATTTTTTCCACCCCCTTGAAGAGGCTTATACAGTGCTTATCACCCTAAACCCGAAAGCCTAAACCCTAAACCCTAAACCCCAAACCCCAAACCCTAAACCCTGAACCCCCGAAAGGTGTGCTTTACTCCTTCGCCTGCTGCCTCATGGCCACTTCTCTCCGAGAGCCGCCGCGTCGTGTGGGATGGCCGGCCGGCAGTGTGGTCCACTCTGGCCCATATCTCAAGTCACCAACGGTCCTCTGGTGGTAGTCTGCCAGGTCGGGATCTGAGGAGATGCCACGGAAGAACTCCAGCTTCCTCTCGGCGTCTCCCTGCACAGCCGCGCGAAGCTCAAGCAGCTGCTGCAGCTTCGCCTGCGGGTTGGATGCGTCCGCACTTTCGGGGTTCGCGTGGTAGTCGCGAACGACCCAGTTTGCATGATGGAGAAGGATCTGCTCGGGCACGCACTCGCTGTCAAAGGCCTGAGAAGAAGCCCAGATTGCAGGAGGAAAGCATCCCCATCTTATGCCGGGCACTTGCGAAGTGTACAGCAGGTTGTTGACGATGCGCTGGTCATGGCGCCCGCTTGGAAGCTCATCCCAAACCGACTGCCAAAACCTCATGCTAGCCGCAGTCCGTCTGATAGCCATAAAGCCGATGTTCACGCCCAGCTTGGTGAACTCTCGTTGGAGGCACATGTCTCGTCCGGCAATACCCTCCCGGACAAGCGGAAGGACCTCACCAAAAAACTGGATGTCGACATCTGAGATGAGCAGTACTTCCTCGGGGGCTGCATGCTCCAGAGCGTCCAGCAGAAGCTTCGTTTTGAACTTGTAGATTGGGACGCCACCCGCCGTGCGGCGCTTGATGACACACAGGTCCTCGACAAAAGTCTCCCGCAGTTCTATGCGATCATCCACCACTGACCCCACGAAGTGGTCGCGCAGTGGCTGGAAGTTGGCATCCGAGAAGAAGTGAAGCGTAACTGGGCCGTCCTGGAACGCATCTTCCTCCTTCCGGGGGCATTTCTAAACATGCACCGGGGTGTGGGGGGTGGGGGGTGGGGTACCCTTTAGGAGAGGTTCCCGTAGAACAGGGTATTGTATCTTGGGGATAACAAAGGGTACAGGGTAACCCCGCCACTTTGGGAAAACACAAAACCCTCTCCTTGACTCGCACAGCGAGATGCCTTGTTTTTCGGAGTCTCCAAGGCCCAGGCCATCGAACCCCTCGCCCTGCCCAGCCCGCCAAGACCGTCAGGGGAGCCACCGTCCGATACATCGGACGTGGGCTCACTCGGCTGGCGCCTCGGATCTGACCCCGACCTGGGCACGCGGCTGGCACTGCAAAAGGGCCACGCCAGCGCTCCATCACGGCGGAGGCATCTGATCGCTCGGTCTGCAGATCTCTTGGTTTTGAGGCTCTGTGTGGCGGTGCCCTCCTGTGACATTCAACCTATGAGCCTATGGCTCAAGCAACTGATCGCTTTCCACTTCAGGCCCCCAAGCAAAAAACCCTACACTTCTAAGTCCTCAAAGCCACCAGCCCCGAACCCACCCCCCGCATCCCCCCAAACCCTCACACCCTCAAACCCTCCAAACTCTCAAACCCCACATGCTCTCAATGCCCCCAAAGCCCAAACCCCCCTAAATCCCTAAACCCCAAACCCTAACCCTCAGAACTCTCAAAACCCAAACAATCCGAAATCCCTTACACCTGAAACCCCTTTAAAAGCCCCCGTTTCATCCCCTAAACCCCTCAGCCCCGCTCAAACCCTAAACCCTAAACCCTAAACCCTAAACCCTAAACCCTAAACCCTAAACCCTAAACCCTAAACCCTAAACCCTAAACCCTAAACCCTAAACCCTAAACCCTAAACCCTAAACCCTAAACCCTCCACTCCAACCAAAGTCAGGCTCCGTCCTCGCAAGGTCACCCCGCAGCTGCGTCATCTGGCCTAAGGTAGTGGTTTAGGGGTTTGGGTTTAGGGTTTAGGGTTTAGGGTTTAGGGTTTAGGGGTTAGGGGTTAGGGTTTAGGGTTTAGGGGTTTAGGGGTCTAGGGTTTAGGGGTTTATGGGTTTAGGGGTTTAGGGGTTGGAGCCTAGGGCCTGTCTAGGGTTTAGGGCTTGGGGCCTGAGGGGCCCGGGTGCCCAAACATTACGAAGATTCCCCCCTAAGCATCCGTACATAATTGTACTCCCGAAGTTCTTTAAACTCGGGTGCCGTTTTGGGGTCCCTTATGTAATGCGGCAGCCTTATAAAAGGACCCAAAAAAGGACCCTGATTTAGAAAACTAGCCAGTAAAGGCAAGTCTCAGTAGAAGGGCTTCCGGGAATGAGAGTTTTTGGCTGTGTCAGGAATCATGAAGCTTCGGGCTGTTTGGGGGGTGGAGGTGAGGGTTTCGGGGAGAAGGTTCCCCTCCGCCGCGGAGTGCTTACTGGCTGAGTGGCCTGGGTGGGGGGGCTTTGAGCTTTGAAATGGAACGGGGGCTGCTGACCGACCCTAAACCCTAAACCCCCTAAACCCTAAACCCTAAACCCTAAACCCTAAACCTAAACACTGTAAAGGCTGATTTGTCGGGTGGGGGAGGGGGGGTGGGCTTGGGGATTTCAAGAGAGTCATTGTGTGTTTTTGGGGACCGTTGCCCTAGACCCTGAACCCTAAACCCTAAACCCTCCAGAGAAAGCCTTAATCCGAAACCCTAAACCCTCAACCCTCAACCCCCCCAAACCCCAAATCCTGACCCAAATATTTGCGCCGAAAACCACCAAGGCCCCAACGCTCCAGTTGCCCCTTCTGCTCACGCAGGCTCCGCACGATGTGCTCGGAGCGCAGAAGCTCCTGGACCAAGGTTTTAAAGTTTAGGTTTAGGGCTTATCGGGTTTTATCGGGTTCTAGGGTCTAGGGTTTAGGATAAGTTTAGGTTTTACGGTTTAGGACGACCCCGGCACTGAGAAGATTCGCACGACCCCTGCCTGCCCAACAAATCGAGAACCGCACCAAGTGCATCCGGTATGGCTCAAGGGTTAAAAGTGTTTGGTTAGTTTGCGGGGTGTTGTGGGATATGGTTATGGTTACTGTTGCTCCCCCTAGACGCGAACCCTTCAACCCGAGACCCTGAACCCAAACACCCACACCCTAAACCCTAAACCCTGAACCCTAAACCCTAAACCCACGACCCTTGAGGAACCCGCGAAGCCCGAAGCCTGCAATCGGCACCTCGTTCTTGGTGCGGAGGGCGTGCGCGTGGCGCTCCGACTCTGCGCGCTCGCGCCTGTGAAAGCGGTGCCCCCCCCCTCCCCCTCCTCGAGGGGGTTTCGGGTTTAGGGTTAGGGTTTAGGGTTTGGGGTTCAGGGTTCAGGGTTCAGGGTTTAGGGTTTAGGGTTTAGGGTTTAGGCTTTAAGGCTTTAGGGTTTAGGGTTTTTTTTTTAGGGCTGCCATGCGCTTCCAACATGCTTGCTGTACATAGGGAAAATACTCGGCGCGCGCGTTGGCGCAGTGCGTAAGAGGTCGCCAAACCGTGTGTCTTTGGATATTAAATGTTTTAGGCCCAGGAAGTCCCTTCGGGCTTCTGGGTCTGTGGCGGAGTGGTGGTTATAAAACCTTACTGCTTCCGTGGAAACTAGTTCAAACCAATATCTACAGGGGTGTCCTCTTGTGCGGGCCTTAGTAAATCTGATTCGGTCCTTGTATCCGGGAGAGAACACTACATGGTGAATGGGGTCCTGGGGGCTTGCTAATATAGAGCTCTGGAGTAATCCAAATTGTTGCGCCAGCAGTGTTTGGGAGGGCAAATATGGCTTGCCTGCAATTTTCCAAACCTTCTGGTTGGATATGTGTGAGTAGTACGAGGATTTGATTTTAATGGAGCGTCTAAGATACCTATGGTACCAGGCGTCGATTTTTTGAAGGAGTGGGTTTCTAGTGTGAGGACATCCAGGGAGTATAGCAGGACAGGAACAATGCAGCTATGGAAGATGTGGGTTTTTACTTTAATGGGTAGTTTACTTTGCCATATGTGTTGGAGCTTCATGAATGAGGAGTGAGCTAGTTCCATTCTATGCTGAATGGCGATTTTTGGCGGAGTAGTCCAGCTGATCCTAGAGCCCAAATATTTAACCTGATCGCTTACAGGCACTGGAGTGCCATCGGCAAAGCTGATGTCTGCCTGTGCGCTGGGGTGGCGGAGTAGTTCGGTTTTCGTGTAATTGAGTTGTAATCCATATAAAGATGCTTCTACCTGTACGCATGCCAAAAATGATTCGAGCTGTGGTGCCGTGACTGCCATTAGAAGAGTATCATCTGCGTATTCTATATCATAAATGGGCTTGCCTATTGACCAAGTGTTTTGCGGTGTACCCTCGCTCCTAAGCCGAGCGTCGATGTCGTGGAACAATACTGTCATGATCATGATGAACAAGTAAGGGCTAAGTGGACAGCCCTGTCGTATGCCACTTTTAGGCGTGCCCCAACTTTTTTCTTGAGAGAATCCTTGAGTGCAAAATTGTGGGTCGGTGTAGAGGTCTGTTATGATTTCAATGTAAGTGGGGTGCACTCCTAATCTTTTAAGGGCGACCATCATGGCGGGGTGGCTAACTTTGTCGAACGCTTGCTTCCAATCTAGAAAGAGAAGTTGGAAAGGCTGACCTGTTTTGGCGGAGTAATCTTGGAGCCTGCGCAGGATAAACAATGGCTGTTTTGTACTTCTTTTTGCACGGAAGCCATACTGGGTGGAGCGTAGTTGTGCGTCGTGTTTAGTGGCTAGTCTTTTTTGCAGCATGGCGGAGTAGATTTTGTAAAACGTGTTTAGAAGGGAGATCGGCCTGTAATTGGAGGGGTCTGAGTCTGATCCCTTTCCCTTGTAGATGCTTACCACGAGCGCTTCTTTCCATGAAGAGGGGACCTTCCTGGCTCTGAGGCAAGCGTTCATAAGGCGGAGTAGCTGGGTTTCACCGTAGTGGTCGAGGAGTAATATTATTTCTCCCTTTACGCCGTCTAGTCCTGGGGCCCTGCCTTTTCTTATACCCTGGATGGCAGCGTAGAGTTCTTCATGTTGAAAGGGAAGGGGGTCAAGTTCGTCGGTCTTGTAAAGCGGGGGGGAAGAGCGGAGTAGTTCGATTTCCTCCTCGGTGACGTCCGGTGGGGACCACTGGTTGTTTTGGAGGTGATCTCTAAAGATTTTATGCGTGTTCGTCCATGGGACTGGTGTGCCTGAAACTTTTAGTCTGGTTCTCCTAGCTCTCTAACCTTTTTTGAAGCTCTGGACTTGTTTCCAGATTTTGGTGTGTGACGGGTTGGGGTCAGTAAGCAACTGCTCGCGTGTCCATTCCCTTTTTATTTTACGGGCCTGTTTTTTAAGGAGTTTGTGTTTTTTGATATGGGCGGAGTGGTCAATGGATTTTAGGTGCCTAACTTCATGGAACTGTTGTAGTAGTTCCTGCGTCATCCAGGGCTGCTTGGGCTTGCGTTTCAGTAGTGGTATGTGTTGCGACTCAGCTTTGTGCAGAGCTCGTACTAATGTGGAATTGAGGCGTTCCAACGCGGAGTGGTCAGTAGATTGTACTGGTTCAATGAACTCCGAGGGGGTGAGAAGAGGGGTGATGTCGTGCCTACCTCCCATTGGGTCAGGTATTTGTTTTCCTTCTTCTGCTAACCTGTCCGCTATTTCATTAAAGTGGTCTCCTGAATGGCCTTTGACCCAAAACCAATCTACTGTGGTGCGGTTTTGCAACTCTGCCAATAAGATACGTGCATATTTAATCATGGTTTTGTCTTTTAGCCTTAGATCTACCCCTTACAGCGTCTGACATCCAACGACTGTCGTAGTAGAAGGAAATTTGTTTAGGCGGAGTGGTCAATGTTAGTATGTACAATGCCGCTTCCATCCAGGCGCTTAGCTCTCCTGTATTATTACTGCCTACTGTCGCTCCTAGGTGAACTGCTGCATGTGGATCAGTGCTGACTGGACCTTTTGAGGCAATTGAATCTTGATTGGTTGTTATGATTGTGTAGCCCCAGCCTGCGGGAGTAGTGGCCGAGCAACGGCCTTTGCTTCCCGAACCATCCGTGTATACTGCCCAATTGGCGTCAGTTGTGTTGAGATTGGGTATTGATTTGTGTTTGGTACATTTTTTAAACGTGTGATTGAACAGGGTTTTAGCGGAGTAGTCTATGGTGGAGTAATCTCTTGCAGGAGGTTTGATTGTGGAGGGTGGTTGGGCTTTGAGTTTAACCCGAATGACTGATTCTAGAAGATAATGGTCACTAACAAATCCTGTGCTATGAACTGCTTGGCATTGTTGAACCGTAGGTAACCATTTGGATCTGGTGACCAAACGGTCCAGTGCCTGGAATCTGTGCGGGTCGATGGTTGGTCGTTGTTGTTCGTGCACTAAGGCGGAGTAGCAAGTGAGGTAATCCCTGACTTTCCCTGCGACCTTTAGGTTCTCA